CCAGAGCGGAGCCCTCCCGGGCGGCTCTGCCCTGCGGCTCCTGCCCACGGCGGTGGCTGGGGACAGACGGGTGCCCGCGGCACGCGGGGAGGCCTGGGGTGCTCCCATGGCACGGGACGCTCCCATGGCACGGGACGCTCCACACCGCTCCTGGCGGGATGCGCCTCCTGCTCCCCGCTCACTGGAGGGGAAATCCTGCCTTCCCGGGAATCGCTGCCTCGGGAAGGTCTCGCTCCATCCAAGAGGGGACTTCTGGAGATGCTGAGGCCTGATCCAGCCCCGCTCCCCCTGGCAGGCCACAGAGGAGCCCGGCAAGGGCTCAGGGACATGGTCCACACAGGGAAGCGAGGGCACAAGCCCATGTCATCAGCAAGTAGCCATCATTAGAGCATAATTCCTAAGCACCGTCCGGTGCTCCATTCCATACTATGCAATCCTCCAGGCCTGACCCAGAGGCAGTTGTACAAGTGGGAGATATTTAAAATACCTCAGGGTCTTGGAAAGACGTGTATAAAAATATCCAGCTGGAGGCCCTACCACAGAGAGGAAAATGAAACAAAATCTCCAAAGTGTGAAATTCAGCAGAGAAACACAACTGCAAGAGAGGCCGGCGGCAGGGACGACTCGAGCAGCCGTTCTGGGCTCAGCAGCTTGGCTAGGTGGCCAAAGTGGTAAAGAAGAGGGCAGAGGGGGGTCCACAACCCTCGATGCCACAGCAGCCCCCAGGCTGCTGCACACAGCAGGGACATCAAACCCACCTCCTCTTCACCGGGACGGTTGGTCCATCCTTGGCAGGGAACACACGTGATCCTCCGTGATTTAGGAGCTGGTTTGGGCAGACCCTGGCCCTGCAGCCGCGGCAGGTCACGCTCGCACACCGGGAGCCGAAGCTCCTCCTGCCTCTGACGTGGCTTTGTGGCCACCGTGGGTACCACCTGCGCCCCATCGGCACCCAGCTGCACCACGCGGGCAGCAGCTCAATCAAAGGCAATTAGTCATTATAAGTATATAAAAATAACTTTTTTTTTTTGTGCGTGTGACAGCAGCTGCTGCACTGGGATTTCAGACAAAGCCCAATCCCCGCAAGGCCTCTCCGGGCAGGACCAACGGGTGGTTTCTACCGCTGGGATGGAGGTGCTATGAGCAGAGCCTGGCAGAGCAGGAGCTCTCGGGTGCCCCCCAGCCCCCTCCAGTTACACATCACGCACTGGGGTAGCAGCAGGACCTACAATAACTTTATGTGTTTCTTGTATTTTTAGCCTGGCAGGGTAAGCACTGCTTGCTCATTACAGTGCGCTTAATCTTGGCTTTACCTTGGCTGGAGCACTGCTCACACTGGCTAACACAGTGATCAGCAAAGACAACTTGGCATCCCAAGGGCACATCTGCAGGCCAAAGATGAGCGAGCAGATTTGTAAATCCCTGCCCTGACCTGACCCTGGGAACATCCTTCCACCTCTCCAAGATCAAACACAACCAGCAGATTTTACATACGCTTTTTCTTAACAACAGGCACCTTCACCCAGCACTCAACACTTGGCAACATGCTGGTGCTCCTACCTCTGAAATGATGAGCTGGAGAAGGTGTTGCTGACTGCTAATTAACCTGCAGGTCAGCAGCGGGAGCCACCTCCAGCTCAGCACCACGTGACGCTGCTTTTCAGCCACTCAGCTGAATTCTTGTGCTGCCTGGCTGGGAGAAGTCGTCATGTTCGGTGTCGACGCACAGAGTAACCTTGAAGACAGGCTTCAGTTTCCGCAGATAAACAGAAAGCGGTCAAACAAACAAACAACTACAGCAGCAAAACTTTCCTCCGTAACGCTGCCACAAAAAGAAGCACCTTGGCCTTTAAGGAAATTCCAAGGTGATCTATTGAAGTTTGCCCTTCATAGGCCATCCAGCAAAGGAGTTGAAGTGTGATGTTTTTATCAGTGCTTTCTCCTAACCCTACAGCTTCCCACAAGCATCACAATTTCTCTCCAAATCCTCACATTGACCTGAACTTGGTAATCAAAGAGCAGAAGGCAAACAAGCCAAGCATATTCGTGCTCTTGACCACTGCTTGTTCACGCAATAGCCAGGACTCCTCTGCTGAGCTTTAGCTGAACAATTACCACCAATATTAGCAGCCACCAAAACGAGGAGCTAGCCATGGGACTTCTCTTGCCAGGGCCAGATTACAGAAAGAGCAGCAGCTCTGAGCTCTGTGGAGAGCTAACCAAGCCCAAGACCCTTGGCAGGACTCCTCTGATCTGCTTCTCTCTACTGATGCCGACGGAGTTCACCCAAACCGAGAAATGGTTCTGCTGCCAAAGTAACGATGCAGCAGCTGCTCTTAGCCTTGTTCACCTCAGCACCTCATCCCTTCATAGCAGGGCGCCTGGATTCCTCTCCTACACAGTACCCTAAGTATGGCATGAGGAGGCAAGAAGAACTGATGCTACATTTAATTACAGTTAGGACAGAGCCCCTGCCACCCTTCCAACACCCGTGCTAGCAGAGGCGTGGAGAGGCAGCCCTTGTCTGTTGGGAAGTTCCCAACTTCCCCACGGGAGAGCCCACGGCTGTGCGTGAGCAGCACCCTGCCCTCGGGTCGGTGCCAGCCACAGGCAGAACATGCCTGCGAGCAGCCACCCGTCCCCTGCACGTGGCACACGCAGCCCTTGGGCCAGCGCTGGCCTGAAACCCGCGGAGCTGGAGCGGAGCGCTGCAGGCTTTCCTGTTCCGTAGCCAAACGGTACGGCCAGGAGCACCCCGTTGCATCCAAAGAGAAAGTGTGGAAAGGGTGGAGAACTCTTTGAATCCCAAAGGTTCGCAGGGTGGTGCCCAGTTGCTTTTTCGCCTTGGATCCATGAATATCCAGGGCAAAGGAAGAGCACTGACTGCACGGGTAAAGCCAGATGTTATTTGTACTGGCCTGGTCTTAACAGCGGGCTTGGACTGAGGCCCTGGCATGTTCTCCTTTGGCTCCCTGCTGCCAGCACCTCTCTGCAGAGAATTCCCCTCTGCCTTGGGACAATTCCCTCCCCTGCTAATGCCAGGAACACTGGTGTTTAGTGCTTCTCTAGCTCCATCTACAGCTGCTTTCTCTCAAGATTTGGGAAGCTTTTGCTAACCAGGCTGATGCTTTGAATCACAGGTGACAGTAACATGTATTGCAACTTCACCCGTCCTGATGACTTTTTGCCACCACATGTCCCTGAATTTCCGATCTCCCGGGGTGCTGGGACCAGTCCCAGTGCAGCGCAGAACTGAGCGAGCCGCCTGCTGCCGCTAATACAATTGCTTTGCTCTCACAACCACGTACAAGTCAGTTAAAGTTCTGAACCAGAACTTTTCTCTTCTGAAGAAACCAGCACACCTGGAAGCAAATGGCACAGCTTTACACACTGTGGTTACCTTCTCTCCTATAGCAATTCCTTATTAATATCACCATATTAATAACCATAACTCTGAATTATGCCAGCATTCCAGAATCACAGCCATGGTCCCAGAAGCCATGGAGACAAGCAAATACCCTTAAAAATGTAGCCGGGGCAAAGTGAAGAGGCAGAAGATGACATGACTCAGCCAAGGCCTGGCTCTTACCCTGCAGAGCCCTGTTCTGATATTGATGCCTGCACACAGGGCTCCTCCCTACCCTGTAGAAATCACACTTACCTCACCAATAAAAACGTCAACTGAAACATCAGCATTAGAGCTGCGTTAAAGTGGACAATTACTAGTAGTTAATTATCTATTAAATGGTCAAATCAAAGCTCTGGGGAAGCTCCTCAGAACCGTGTAAGCCTAGATGTGCCATTTCAAAGACATGTTAATGTCATAAAATCTAACTATAAAATACAAGATTTAAACCGAAAAACTGTGACATCAGTGAGACACTGCAGAGACAGGTGCTGAAAGGGCCTAAGATAAACATGGTGCCCAGAGCAGTGTATCCTACCTTGGGATTATGAACTTGAGTTCCTCACAAAAGACAGCACAACAGCTTAGGAAAGCTGGGCTGGCTTCCAGAGCTGACAGACTCCTGAGTATTAGGATAGGTGGGTTACACTGAAACAAGTAGCAAGAAATTGCAGGTAACTGCTTGGCCATGATGCGACGTACAGGACTCACCTGGAGGGAGTTCAGCACAATGAAGACGTAGGCCCAGATGATGCTGAGGTGGACCAGGACTCCACACACCCACGTCAGCCCCAGCACGGGCAGCAGCACCAGGATGGGTTTGGCTGTGGCCCTGTCAGGACAAGTTGCTCAGTTACCTGCAGGCGTTTCAAAGCCCACGGTCTGCATCAGGGCTCGGCGCCCGCTGGCACCTGCTCCCAACCACCAGCCCTCCATGGGTCTCTGCGGTGCCCCAGGCTCTTGAGCTGGGTTTGCCAAGTGCCTTCCTGGCTCTGCAAACACTGCCCAGGGTCTGGGCAGAACCTCCCCCAGTTACAGAGCAGGTCAGTGGATGTGCAGTGAAGAAGGCACCAAAGGTTTCACAGCCCTCTGGCCTGTATTTTGCAGGTTACAAGAAAGTCTTCCTTGTCTCCATGCTAGGGACAGCTCTGCTCCTACAACAAGTGCCTATCAGATGATTTGGCAGGCAAGAGGCACCCAGTGACAGTAGCTATGGAATGAATTTCTTTGTGAACCAAATCCTAGCTAAGCTAGAGGAAAAAATAAAACAAACAGTATTTCCCAGTCCCCAGCGTGCAAGCCCAGCTCTTTATTTATCATTGAGTTAGCAAGAAGGGAGCTCTTTGACGTCATCAGCCATGAGAAAATAGCTAGTCTTCCCCAAATTGCTGCTAGGAGGAGGGCTTCTGTATTTGTTTTATTAGCATGTGGATGTCACCCTGCCCTCCAGCACTGCCCTATCTTTATGCTTCTGTAAATTTGGGAAAATTTATTTATGAAACAGGGGAACAATGCGTGTCTAGCAGGGGTGCCCGGCGCCAGCTAACAACAATAAAAATTCACAGAGGATGATAAAATAATGATTCAAACAGCAGTTTTTTAGAGGTCTCTCTATATTGACTGATTACACAAGTTCGCACTGCCTCTCTTTCCCCATGTATGTAATCCCTATCAGGGCTACTTTCAATCCATCGAGTCCCAGATACATAGAAAACGCTTTTTATCATGGCAAATAGCTAAAAAGTCTTGCACTCTGTACAACCAGCATCCTTCTGAGGGGCATACACGAGTGCTAAGGAAGGGACGTGTGTGAAACGCATTCAGTCACAACCCTTTTGAACTGCAAACTGGAAACTTCTGAGGAGAAGTGGAAGTGACCTACTTCCATGGCCCAGCTCTGAATAAAAATCCACAGAAATTAGGTACCTGATATCCCTAATTCCTTGAAACATCCTAAGCCGACCCTGACCTGCCTAGGCTTATGTTTTATAGGATATCTGTGTCCCAGGCTGCTCACCACATCTGCACTCCAATCTGCTTCTCCAGGCTGCTGCTGGGTGTCAGCATCTTCGATCTCCTGCGAGCACTGGCCACAGTCACCATCACCACCCGGAAGAGCACGAATGTATTTACCTGCCAGAAGAGAGCCATGGGAGCCCAGAAGCTTCGTAAATTAACTCTAGTGAGTTGTCTCTGCTGGCACTCAATAAGCTACCAACTTGTAACATAGAAAATTGGCAGGATTTGAGGAGACATGTATCAATCCTGAGAAACCAGTCAACAAAATACATACGTTGCAGAGTTATCCACAGAAGTATCAAGTCTATAAAATTTATTCCAAGACTTCACCTGCAGAGCATCATCTTTAAGTAAACAAAGCCTGCTCTTTTTCCCTTAAATGTTTCACCTTTTTCTGCTATTTTGTTGATTCTACTAAAGGATTAAAAAAAAACCCTGTAAAAACAACAGGAAAATCAAGAACCCTGAGAGCAAGCACCTCAGCTCCAGAAGTGCCAGCACTGCTGATTCTGTGACACTTTCTAAACTCAGACATGGAGAAGTCCCACACTTACTGCCAGGATGACGAGGACAGGCCCCACGAAGGCCCAGATGATGTCGCTCTGAACGTTCAGCCAGCAGTGCTCGTCTGCCACGTACTTGTTGGAAGAAGCTGCAAGGGTCACCCCCACGATGACAGCCGGGAGGCCTGCAGGAAACGAACACATCCCAGAACACTGTCAGCTCCACATGAGACCCCAGAAAAACGGGAAGGACCAACACGGCTCAGCTGGGCTCTAGGCAACGGTTTCAACCACCGTGACCACAGATGGACCAGTGTGAGCCATCATAGCCCCTTAAACCCCACGAGCAACATCAATTTACTGCAGGTGACCTCAAGCCATCCCAATACTAAGACCAGATTTACAGGCTGGCAGCATCATCCTCTGAAGTATAAAGCATTTCAAGCCCTGACCAAAATAATTTACTCCTCAGACTGCTTTTTTAAAGAAAAACTTACACAGAACCATGCAAAACATTGGTATTAGGTGTCCAACTAGGTACACGTTTTGCATGGAGCACTGACCTAAGGATGCTCCTCCTTGATATAAAACTCAGCTTACACAGATAAGGTCTATGTCCCTGAAGGACTCATCCTGAATAAAGGGTATTATACAGGAACATATTTATATTAACCATGTCAGACAGTAGTAATGCTTTCTGAGAATAAGAGCTTGCCATAACCTTCTTCTCCCCTTTCTTTGTATTGAACAAAAACTGGTTTTAGAAAAGTAACAAAGTGTTCTTTTGAACTTGTATATGAAGACTGGCAATTTGACACATAAGGGTAATAAAGCCTCTAAAGAACAGAGTGACCCAATCAGACTGAATCAAAACAAGCATTTGTGTGACTCAACATCAGTACTGAGGAAATTTCCCCTACTGAAACTTTTGCTAGAGAAAATGACTTTTTTTTTTTTGAGTGCCAGTGCAGAAGAGTCTGTAGGTACCCCAGCCTGTCACATAGTAGAACTTCATTCTCTTGTCTTCACTCATATTGACTGCCACCACTTTGCTCCAAAGGAGAAGCCCCTCTACCAGCATCCATGAAAAGGCTGCCATGAAGAAGAGATGGAGGAAGGCAGTAACAGTGAAGCACACCACCTGGAAAGAGGAGAAACCATGTGCTATTTCAGGAAGAGGAGTCTTCTGGGAACATCTGGACACATGTGATCAGGAAGGGGAGAGCAACCTGCAGACTACACTGCAGAAAGTGCACAAATGTATTTCAGTACTCACAACACTCATGTTTCAGCAGAACTGGTCCTGCTGGGTAAAAGAGGAGACTCTCTAGTGAGCTCACCTGGTTGGTCTTGGCCAATTCACTGAACATGAGCAGAGCCTCTGCTGCAGCTAATGCAAAGATCAGGTTCTTATGCACCGTTGCTCGTTCGCTCTTGGGAACACTGAGGAAGGAGACAGGAAGGCCTCAGCTGCAGCCACACCAAAGGGATGCACGTTCTGACCAGCCTCACCATGCTGTTCACATCTGCTTTGATGACCTGCCATCTTCCCACTACTCACTGCCAAGGTGACAGTCCAAAGAGGCTGTCCTGGTGTACAAGCACCTGAGCAACCTCAGGTTTGAAACAGCTGACACTTACAAATTATATCTTATTTGCATATTCAGTTTGAAGCAACAACAAAAAGAAACAGAAAAGGTTACAAAGTGTATGGACTTTTCTTACCCAACCACCAAGAATAAAATGAAGGTAACAATCAAGGCACAGAAAGAAACTCCACATCCAATAAAAGTCAAGGTCTGTAGCGTGAACTCTTCCTTCATGGTCCTCTGCTCCAAAACCGAGACAACAAAATACATAAAAGTCATGCAAAATTAACCACACACTGCTCAGTTTTTACATCTGCCCCACAGATCACCAAAAAGCCGCTGTTCACTTACTTGTGCTTCATACACCTGCAGCAGCACCGCAAAGTTCGTGGTGTGGTTGCAAAAACAGGCTGTGGAATCTGGGAGAGATGTCACCACCGAGCAGCCGGCTGTGGACCACATCCCACCAGCGTCTGGGCTAACATGCAGCAAGAAGCAAAAGCATGGAAATTACCACTTGTTTGAACAGAAAACCAAAGCATTAAGGAACTTTCATTTTTCCAACAGAAGCAGAGTTGAAGTGAGGAAGAAGAGGATATCAAGATGCATTTTTACATGAACTTGGTCCTGCATCTCAGCAGATTTGCCTTATCTACCACGTATACACAAGAAAATAGGTCTAGTGTCAACGCTAAAATGTTAGGATCAATTAAGCCAAACAATGAAACCATCATTCAGCTATCACTGCTTTAAGAGGAACTCAGCTCTGGGAAGAGCCTCCTTTA